GTGAGAAGATGAAGATGAATTTTGAAATTTTGAATCTTTTCAATAGTTTCTTGATGAATCTCCACTTGTGCAGTCTCTTCTTTGCCCAAAAATTAAGTTTGAATTTTTACTAGATTGAATTCTTGCAAATCTTCTTCAATTCTCTCACAAAAATAATAAATTCTCCTACTTTGATGATAATAACTGAAGAGTATTTGAGAATATTATGCGTCCCAATATGTATTCTGCTATTAAATATTTGTAGGAGTTCAAAATTGGTTGAAAATCACATCCAAATTGACTTCCAAAAGAGTTTCAATCGAATAAAAAAAATTCGCACATGGATTTTTTGTTTCTGCACAGCAATCAGTATTTTGACCATAATTTTATCTCTCGATATTCGATTGAGACGATTAGAAATATTTTAGAAATCTGACTCAAAGGGGTACAACTTTTCTAGAAATAGAATTTTCTCAATTCGGACATTTACTATGCCAAAAATAGGTCTCAATATTCGACTAAAAATCTGGAATATAACTTGTGCGATTGGAAATTGATTTTGATAATATTTTGATTATATTTCATTTTTTTTTTGAGTTCTAATTCCATNAAATGGGTCACAATCCTCGACTAAAAATCTGAAATATAACTTGTGCGACTGGAAATTAATTTTAATCATATTCTATTCCTTTTTGAGTTCTAATTCCATCCAATTGTCTCCTAACAATCTTTGAAGTATCATCTTGTGATTCGAATCAACTATTGAATTTTCAATTTGGTCCTCAAACTTTGAATTTTGCCTTTTTTTTTTTACCAATTTTCGCTTCTTTCTTTCGATTTCTAGTTCAACTATTGAGTTTTACCTATATAACATAAAATATAACAATTTGAAATATATTTTGTCAGAAAAACTATCAAATATCACTATTTTAGACCATGAATAAGTGTATAAATACACTTATTAGATTAAGAGCCTTGAAGTGGTTCATCTTTAAGCCTAAGTTGAATCGAAGAAAATAAATAAATATGTGTGTTTTCTAACAGTGCAGACTTTATAAGTGATTTAACATGATATAAAGTAGACAAATGTCATTTCAAGTTTCGTTTATAGTGCAGATTTGTGTCAAGCATTTCATGAGGAAAAAATCTAATAAAAATCAATCGGGCTAAAAATTAAAAATTTAAGTTACTTTCTAGATTAAAAGTATCTTTTAAGCATAAAAGTTGATGGAAGAATTTTAATTGTGCCAATGAAACCATTCCATCCAACTCCTTTTTCTTATGTATACATTGGATAGAAAAAAGTTTATAGATGATAATTTAATTGCATACAACATTTCCAAACACGTGCAACTTAATTATGAAAATAATTCATTAATCAATTTATTTCATTAATTATAAACTTTGTCCAAACAAACGTAAATCAAAGTCCACTTGTTTTGGAGTATGTTTAATAGTATAAGCACGAAACTTTTGTTAACTGTGGTGACCAAACCCAACCTATAGCCTACACTACAATTAACTTTTTCTTCTCTATAAATACTCTTAATTAGAGGCGTGTGTCCACCACAGTCATTTGTCTTCCAATTCTCTCTAGCTATAATCCTTTTCCTTCAATCCCATTTCATGGCTTCCAACCAAGAATCAATCCATGGTGCCAAATTTCCTTTCCATGTCCAAGAAATGGAAAGACAAATGAATCTTGAGCCACAAGAAAAGGAGTTCGACTACTCGAAACGATCTCAATGGCTTCGCGCCGCAGTCTTGGGCGCCAACGACGGATTAGTTTCCACGGCGTCATTAATGATGGGTGTTGGAGCCGTGAAACAAGACATCAAGGTCATGATATTAACCGGCTTCGCAGGTTTAGTGGCCGGAGCATGCTCGATGGCCATCGGAGAATACGTATCCGTTTACTCGCAACTCGACATAGAAGTGGCTCAAATGAAGAGAGAGAAAAGAAGGGAAGTTGCCGTCGAGACGATGGCAAAAGTAGAAGTACAAGAGGAAGAAAACGACGAGAGTTTACCGAGTCCGGTACAAGCTGCTGCAGCATCAGCCCTAGCATTTTCTTTGGGTGCAATGGTACCATTATTGGCTGCATCATTTATAAAGGCGTACAAGGTAAGAATTGGAGTGGTGGTGGCGGCGGTAACCCTTGCTTTGGTGGTGTTTGGGTGGTTAGGTGCGGTGTTAGGGAGGGCACCGGTGGTCCGGTCGGCGGCAAGGGTTTTGATTGGTGGCTGGCTGGCCATGGCCTTAACATTTGGTTTAACAAAGTTGATTGGTACTCAAGGCCTGTAAATTAATCATATCCATTGTATGCATATTTATACCTTTTTATTGGTAACTAAAAGATGACCTTTTATGTTTAAAGAACTAATATTTTACTTTTTTGTGCTTTTATTTAAAAGTATAGTGTTCACCAATGATCATACTTTGTGATTTTATGGTTTTAATGGACTTTGGTGTATAATTATTACGGAGTAAATATTTATCTTATATCAATCATGTTAATTATAAAATTTAGTTTGCTAGTCGTTGTACAATAATTATTTTACCCAAGGGCGGATCGAGAAAAAAAATTGGACACGGGCTAAAAAGCAAAAATAAAAAAAAATTTCCCCCCTTAGGATCTGGGTTGGAGGGGCGGGCTGTAGCAAAGGTTATCCCGTCCCTGGATCCTCCCCTGATTTTACCCTTAGAATGATAATATTTTAACATCGTCTTATTTAAATCTCATTCCGATTTTAGCTCACCTAGATCAACGTTAGATTGGCCGATAGCTATAATGGATGTTGAGCTAATCAGATAATATCAAGAAAAAGAAAAAGTTTGATTCTTGTTTTCATTGTATTGAGGAGATACTTTCACTAATCACTTTTGTGTTACATCAATTACAGTGAGCAAATGGTCAAAAAAATAATTTAGTAACTGTTTTTCTAATGTTAATTAATTTAGTGCCCAAATTGGTTAAGAGAACTAGTTTAAAGTTCGACTTGTTTAAAAAAAAAATATTTTATTCTAAATTGGTTATAGAAATTTGATTCTGTTATTAGTTTAGTCACTCATTTAAAATTCATTAAATGTTGTTCTCTTTACCATTTTCAAGTCGTTTTCTGTTTTCAATTTTTCAAAACAGTGAAAAAGCGTTCTCTTTCCCATTTTTGAAAACGTGTTTTTGAAAATAAGTTAAAAATTTACAAAGAAAACCAAAAACAACAAATTTGTTGTTTTGAATGTGTTCAATTATAATCAAGTCAAAATTTTCAAAACACGTTTTTTGTGTTTTCAAAATAATTTTTCAAAATGCCAAAAAGAACATATTTTCAACAATCTCAAAATAGACACTCAAAACACAAAATTCAAAATGAATTCAAAACTCAAAACACAAAACCCAAACACAAAGAGATTAGCCCTTTAGTTGTTATAATGGAATGTCTAACGTGACATGACATAAATATGAAGGTCTTCTACATTGAGGCGGAGGGAAATGAGGTGGTGATCGAGATTTTACATGTAAATTTAAAAAAAAAATTTAACATAGACAACAATGCAAATGCATTTCGTCCCCTTAACAAATAAAGCATTCGTGCCACCTAAAATTTCCAATTTGTCACTACTTCTGGATATTTCTTAAAAAACTCAACTTTGTTGATTCTCATTTTTTTTCAATATACATTTTTTTCTATTCTTTTCAACAACACATTCTTCAATAAAATAATATTACTCGTAAATCCAAAATTAATCCTTATTTTTAAAAGCACACATTCCCCATTAATCTACTATTTCAAAATACATTTTTAATATTTTAATAGGGTTCAAACATGCTCTTAATCTAAGTGGCTAATTTGAAACAAAAGGCAAACTTTAATGATCATTATAGAACAAAATAAAGTCCAATAATTAACATGAAACTTTGCAATAAATTGATTGGACTCTTTGTGGGCACCAGTATGACGACTCTTGTACCCTGTCATATTGAGGCACATCCCACGGTTTATCTCCTCCACAATGTTCTAGGGGCGGGGAGGGGCGGGGCCTTCAAGGTTGGGGTTCAACATTTTTTATAAATATGAATAATGAGAGAATTAATAGTAGGTTCCACGAAATATGTAAATAATAATGAGTAATTTATTAATATTTGATTTTGACTGAATTTATAAATTGTATCCAAACAGAAGCAACTTTTACTCTATAATAATGATTCATATTGTATTTTTTACGAATTACTTAAATTTTCTGAAGACCTATGCGTGGAGTTTTTATTAATGAGTAATATTATTTAGTATTAGTTGCGTCATAATACTAGTTTAGGTGACATTGAATGTTATTAAATAATATCATTAATTAGATGAGTCATTTTTTCCATACATTTTATTGAGTCTATCAGTTAATGACATTTATGGTGGCATTGCTAAATAACATTATTCTTTATTAATAGACAACTAGAAGATTTTAAAAAGTATAGCATCTTTATGTGTTCTTATACTACATTACTGCTTCAAAAATGAATTTATATTTTTATATTTTTGTCTTCGACATATTCTAAATTAATGTAAGATATTAAAATAAAAATTTGTTAATTGATCAATTAATCATTAGTGGAAAGGAAATGTGTCCAGATTTTTTATTCATGCTCAATGATGATAGCCAATTGGATTTACAGAAATATATATAGGTGTAAATAGTATAGTTTAAACACTTCCAGTGTAAATTGGGTTGAATAAGGTTGGTTAACCTCTAAATTACAATACTTTAATTGAAAAGGTTGTCATTCATTATTGTATAAAATGACTAATATCTTTAATTTAAAATTAAAAAATTGGTATAATGTACATATACTATAATGATACATCATGTTTTATAGAAAAGTTTAGATGCTAATTTGGCAAGTAAAAAGTTGTGTGCTTCTGTCCGATCTTTTCGTTTCAATCTGAATGTTCTTTCAATTTTTGGATCAAACGTAACAAGATCACAATAATTCGAACTTTGCATACAAAATCCCGAAGAGGGAGAAAGAAACGCTATAATTTTACTAATAAAATTAAAACTACAACAAAGCATTAAAAATTCAAATTAAAGTTA